TTTTTTTTTTTTTTTTTTTGAGTCGTACACCATTGTTGTATGTGAAAAATTGTTGTATTTGAAAGTTATTCTTCAGAATTTTGTATAGTAGTCAAACTCACAATGCTAATATGTGTTCCATCATATATAATTAATCTCTTCAAACATGTAAATGCCTTTGTACGTGGTGGCCCTCATGTTAGCACGCATCATGGCCCCTATCAACATAGGGATGGTTCATTTGTGTGTATCTTATGTATCCTTCAAAGGTTGAGATATCAAAAGAGAAGTAACTAATATTATTTTTTGAGCAAGTCACGCAAAGCAGAGCGGTCACTTTTTTTTTATTTTTTTTTTATTTTTTTTTATTTTTTTTTTTAACCTTGACTAATTTGTTCTAGCTGTTAGAATAGAGATATGGAATACTATATCTAAAAGATTGAACCAGTCCATTAAGCCGGTCGAATAAATCGAATCAGTCGCCCTGGTTGAACAGAGCACGAGTAGGGTGATCGAGATTGAACATTACAAGAACAAGAGCCTCTGGAGTTGAAAGATAGCTTAAAGGGGATTCCACATATGGAGAGCAGGTCGATCCCAGACCCATGGGGGTCTAGTCGAAGATCGACTAGCGGAACAAACGGTCGTCTGATCGACCATTTACCAGACTCGAAGAAGTCAACAGGTTGACCTAGATTTTGTCGAGCATTAGAGCCTTCAAGGAGATCTTAGTGGAATCAAATCCGCACGTGCGGGAGACACGTGGCGTGGCCTGATTGGTCCATATAGCGTAACCGTCTCTGGCACACCTCCAGTGTGTGTTCTACGACCGGGCAGGCTGGGTAGCTTCGACAGCCACCTCAGCTTATCCGGGCAGCCTTCTAGAAGCAGGTATTGCTTGTCCCATTTTTGTTACGTTTTTCGTTTTTGTTTTGTCTTTCTTTTTCCTCAGTTTTAAGTCTTTTCTTTCGTTTTTTGTTTATTTTGTGTTTTGTTGCGTGTTTTCCTTCATTTTGAGTTTTTCTGTGTTTTTTGTTCGTTTCCCGATTTTCTCCATTTTCCGTCTCGTTTTTGGTGTGCAGGTTGGAAGGTTCGGGAGGATAGGATATCAGGAAAACATTGGTTGGGAAAGCATAATTAACTAGAAGATTCGTTGGCGACAAGTAAAAAAAAAAACAGAACTCAATTCCGAGTTCGAACGAGCCCGAAACGCGAAGTCGCCCAAAGCAACCCCTGCCCCGCGCGCTCGCCAGTCACCTCCCAGTGTCCCAGGCCATAACGCCGCTAGTGTGCCCGGGCTAGCGGCGCTTCCTAAGCTAGCGCGCGCTAGAGAGCTCCTAGGCGCCCAGGCTAGCGCCGCTAGGGCTGGGCGGCCAAAAATGTTTTTTTTTTTT